CCCCATACCAAGCCCCCCCAAAAGGGAAGATATGCTTTCTGTCTTTCTTTGGACTCTACCTTGAAGTCCCCTTTGATTTCTTTAAATCCCTTTTGATTTTATTTTCATTTATTTACTTTGACATGCATGCATGTTTTGCCCATGGGAGGCTTTAAGCCAAAGGCCCAAGAAGAGGCTCGGGTTTCATGGAAAACTGAAAACCCAACCCCTCTTCCCTCTTAGGCATCCCTCTCCCTGGGAGACCCCATCTGTCCTCTCTGCTGTTATCACCCTCGAGGGACCCAGAGTCCCTTTTTATATCCCCATCTAGACAAGAGTGTGACAACCCAGAGAGGTCAGGAACTCCTTATCCATTGCTCAGAAACACAGAAAAAACAGGATGCTCTTGGATGCCCCCCCCTCTCACACACACACACACACACACACACACACACACACACACACACACACACACGGTGCACTTAAGTTTCCTTCCCCCTTTCTCTTCCTTTCCTTTTTTGTTAAGTTCTTTTGTATTTGTTTTTGTTTTTTGTTTTTTGAGACAGGGTTTCTCTATAGACCAGACTGGCATTGAACTCACAAAGATCCACCTGTCTCTGCCTCCTGAGTGCTGGGATTAAGGTGTGTGCCACCATAGCACAGCTCAAGTTATCTTCTGAAGGAAAGGCAGTAGTCTTTTGATTGGTTGGTTTCGAGATAGGGTCTTAGGCTAGTTCAGCCTGGCCTGGAACTCACTTTGTAGCCCAGGCTGGCACTGAACTCTAGGTAACCTTCCAGTTTTGGCTTCTTGGGTGTTGGGATTAGAGGTGTGACCCACCCCTCGAGTTGGAGACAGAGTCTCACTCAGTAACTGGATATGTAGGCTTCAACCAGAAGGTGATTTTCCACCTGTCTCCCAAGTAGTAGGATTGCAGGCACACATTACCAAATGGATTAGGGTTTTACACACATATGTGCATGTGTGCCATCCATCTCGGTTTCTGAGCTCGCCGATTCAGCTGGGCTGGAGCACCAGAGAGCCCAGTCTCTTGTTACCTCCCCAGCTCTGGGAATCAAACTCAGGTCTGAATGATTGCAAGGTGTGGTGGTTTGAAGAAAATGCCCCCAAAAGGAATGGCACTATTAGGAGGTGTGGCATTGTCAGAGTAGGTGTGGCCTTGTTAGAGGAAGTATGCCATTTTGGGGGTGAGATTTGAGGTCTCCCTTGCTCAAGCTATGCCCAGTGACTCAGTTTACTTCCTGTTGCCTGAGGATCAAAATGTAAGAACTCTCAACAACTTCTCCAGTACTGTCAGCCTGCATGCTGCCCTGCTTCCAGTCATTATAATAATGGACTAAACCTCTGAACTGTAAGCCAGCCCCAATTAAATGTTTCCTTTATAAGAGTTGCTGTGGTCCTGGTGTCTCTTTACAGCAACAGAAACCCTAAGTCACAAGGCAAACATTTTACCAACTGGGCTATTCCCTCAGCTCCTTCCGTCCAACGTTTTAACAAGGTCAGGTCTTGTCTCTCCAGTAAGCTCAGCTCTGGAGGAAATGTGGGCCCTGTGGGTCTCAAATGCCACTCCTGTAGGTCCCTGCAGGAGGGATTAGAAGCAGGACTTGGTTGGGGAACTCCCAGGCGGCACTCATCAGAGATCAGCCAGCACCAGTGAGGACTGTGTCCCATCTCACTGAGGCTCCCTGAAGGCTAGACTTGCAGGATAGAACTGGGGGTGCTTAAGCTGGAGTCTGCACTGACAAGGCCCACCTGCCAAGCCTCCTGAGCTCTGGAGGAACTCACAAGGGCCAGAATAGCTTCTCCATTGTTCTTTCCTACAATGGCGCAGGCCTGGAATCCCAGCATTTGGGAAGCTGAGACAGGAAGGTTGCCATGAGTTTGAGAAGCCAGCCTGGGCTACCCAGCAAGACCCAGTTCAAAAAGAAAACAAATAAAGAGGGATGTGGCCCCATTAGTAGCATGCTTGCCTAGCATATATGAAGCTATGGGTCCAAAGCCGGCACGCCTGTAATCACCCAGCACTCGGGAGTAGAGTCAAGAGACAGAAAGCTAAGTGTTGTTAGCTGTTTTTTTAATACAGTAGCTTTGGAGCCTATCCTGGCACTCATTCTGTAGACCAGGCTGGCCTCGAACTCACAGATATCTGCCTGCCTCTACCTCCCGAGTGCTGGGATTAAAGGCATGGGCCATTACCTCCCAGTACCTTTCTCTATTTCTTCTTTCCTTCTTATTCTGTGGCTGACTGGGTAGCTTGGTGGCTCAGCGGCTGGGTGACTGGGCATCTGGGTGGCCGACCCCTGATGTCCTCATCTCCATGTTTTCTCTTGGCTCCTTCTTCCAGATTTCTCCTATTTATTCTCTCCACCTGCCAGCCCTGCCTATCCTTGCTCCTGTCTTGCTATCAGCTGTTCAGCCTTTTATTAGACCATCAGGTGTTTTAGACAGGCAAAGAATCACAGCTTCAGAGTTTTAAACAAATACAGCAGTCAGGTGGTGGTGGCGCACGCCTTTAATCCCAGCACTCCAGAGGCAGAGGCAGGCGGATCTTTGAGTTGAGACCAGCCTGGTCTACAAGAGCGAGTTCCAGGACATTCTCCAAAGCCACAGAGAAACCCTGTCTCTCGAAAAACCAAAAAAAAAAAATGTAGCATAAACAAAAGTAACACATCTTTGCATGGTTAAACAACACACCCTAAAATAATATTCCCCAACATTTAAGGCCACTCTTGAGTACAGCCTGAGCTACGAGACCCTGTCTTAAAAAACAAACAAAAAAGTAATGATGGTGGAGGAGACTGAAGATGGCGCCACAGTTAAGAGCGCTTGATCCTGCAGAGGCCCAGCACCCACGTGCTGGCTCACAGCCATCCATAACTCCAGTTTCAGGGGACCCAGCACCCTCTCATCTCCACAAGCATCAGGACACATACGTGGTGCACATACATGCAGGCAGAACAGTCGTGCAAACAAAATAAACAAAACAATGTTTTTCCTCTAAGTCTAGAGAGAGGAAACTCACTAACCTGTGCTGTCAGCTTCCCAGACTATGCCTCAGTTTCCCATTTGTGCAATGGGAATGGGATTCGTGCACTCACACACAAAAATAGATTTATAGCCGGGCGTTGGTGGCGCACCCCTGTAATCCCAGCACTCAGGAGGCAGAGGCGGCGGATCTCTGTGAGTTCAAGGCCAGCCTGGTCTACCAAGTGAGTTCCAGGACAGCCTCCAAAACAATACAGAGAAACCTTGTCTCGAAAAACAAAAAAAAAGAAAAATAGATTTATGGGGAGCTGTGGGGTCCCTGACTCAGCTGGAAGAAATGGGGGGATGGAGCACAGGGACGCACTGGTACCCAGCTGCAGCTGGCTATGAGAGCTGTTGTGTGTACAAATGTGCCTCTCCATGCCCACCCATGTGCATGCATGCGCCTGTGCCCGTTTCGGACATATATATGGTGTGTGCTAGCTCATGGATGCCCCCTTCCCTCCAAGATGCCTGTTGCTTCCACAAGTTGCCTGCACCCCTGAAACTTGTCCTCGCTAACCCAGCCATTCTCTGACAGCTTCCTTTCTTTTCAGGACCTATGCTTAGGAGTGTCCCTGACCAGGAGCTCTTCTGTCCCTTTTTCTGGATTAGGTCCTCCCTAGTATTCCCATCAGACCCTGTGCCAGCCCCTGCAGATCTATGCCTGCTCCCTTAGACCTGCAAGACTCTGAGCTGCCACCATTAACTCAGCACCTGTCTCCTCCATGGGACCCGCCCCCCAAACAATTGTGGGACTTCCACAGACATCAGGTGGCCACGCAGTGCTTGGTGGTGGTGATGGACAGGGTATCCCCTTCCCTCAGGGCACCAGAGGCTGAGGGTTTGACTCTACAGGATTCATCTGTCTCTCCGGGTCACTGACACTTTCCGGGCTTGGGCTCGGGGACCACCAATCACAGTGCAGCCTCTTCATTTCGTCATCAGCAGCCAATCAGTGTGGCTCTCCAACCGCCTCTGCAGAGAGCCTCCAACTGCTGGGGCTTGGGGCTAAGCTACTCAGCACTACACGGTACAAAAAAATTTTTTTCCTTACGCCCCAGTGTCCCCCTCCGTAAAATGGGACTCTGGGATGTTCCAATGACTGTCTTCCTTTTCTTTCCTCCTTCCTTCCTTCCTTTCACAGGTCCAGCTGTCCTGGGACTCGATTTTTGTAGACCAGACTGTCCTCGAACTCAGAGATCCGCCTGCTTCTGCCTCTTGAATGCTAGGACTAAAGGCGTGCGCCACACTGCCTGGTTGGACCAACACGTTTTGTGGTCAAACTTATTGGAACTGAATCTAGGGACGACAGACCTGGCTTATTTGTGTGTGTGTGTGTGTGTGTGTGTGTGTGTGTGTGTCTGTGTCTGTGTCTGTGTGGAGGCCCAAAGTCTGTTTGGGGTGTCTTCCTCAACCCACCCTCACCGTACTGAGACAGGGCTTCTCGATGAACCCAGAGCTCACAGATTAGGCAAGGCAGCCACCAAGCTCCAGAGATCCTCCTGTCTCTACCCTCCTCCAAGCCCTGGAGGAGGCGTACCCCACTGCACCAGACTTCCTCACATGGGTGTTGGGTTATCAGGCTTGGCAGCAAGCAATTTTACCTGCTGAACCTTCTCATCTGCCCTTGGCTGGAACTTGCTGTTTTTGGAGACCAGGTTTCTCTGTAGTTTTGGAGACTGTCCTGGCACTCTGTAGATCAGGCTGGCCTGGAACTCACAGAGATCCACCTGTCTCTGCCTCAAGAGTGCTGGGATTAAGGGCATGTGCCACCACCACCACCACTCCTCAGCCTATACTTTTAAATACCCAGCTTGCTAGACCCAGGAGCTTTGTGTTCAGCCATTTCTCAGGCACATGCTGGAGCCACAAGGGTCTGAGACCTGAAAAGAACCCGCCCCCTGGCAGTCAGTGCGGGATCCCTCCCTGGGTCCCCATCCTCTTCCTCTGTGAAACAATACATACACAGGCCGCAGACATGGTATTATTTTATTTTCCAGTTCAAAGCTACTATTATGGGTCTTCGGAGTTATACAAATGACAGTTACAAAAAAAAAAAAAAAAAGACCGAGACACCCCGAGTGAGTGAGATGCACGGTGTTGGGGAATTGGTAGAATGGGGTGTCTGGGAAGGGCCCCCCTGAGGTTTACTCCAGGATTCCCAGGAGGGACACGCCTGGCTTTCTCCCACCCCAGGAGCCCCGAGGTGTCAGGAAGACATGGAGCACCAATCACAGGGCCAGGGCTGGGAGTGGGCAGGCAGGAGGGAGGGAGGAAGGACAGGAACCCACTGGAGAGGTCAGGTGTCAAGTGTCTCCCCCCAAGACCACTCACAGCTACAACCAACCAGGAAAGTTTGCCTAGGGGCCCTTTCAACAATAGCATTTCCTTTAAAAACAAAAACAAAATACTGATTTGGTCATTTTTCTGCTTCCAGTCAGGCCAGGGTGAAAAGGAAAGAGATGGGGGCAAGGCCCCCCCAACCCCAGAATGTGCAGGGGCCACCTGGCAGTGCCACCAAAGACCACTCTCCAGCTATGATCCAGAAAAAAAATACTTGTGGACAAACCAGGCCACACCTGGCGTCAGTCCCGCCAAAGGCTTGCCTCCATGTTCTGGGGCAGGCCGGTCAGAGAGGCTGATCTTCAGGGGAGGGTTTCCAGTTACAAGCTCAGGGACAGGGCAGCTCCCCCCCCCCCCACTTCTCCTAGGCCACTTCCTGGGGAAATAAGGCTCAGAGTTGTGTGAGGTCAGAAGAGAGGTGCCAACATGCCCCATGGCAAAGAAGGGACCCAAAGTCCCTCCCAGGGACAGTCTGCAGCCGCTGACCCACAGGGAGCAGAGTTAGGGGGAGGGGTCCACAGAGGGCAACAGGCAAGGGCACCGTTTCTCTTGGGTTTCCAGTTTGAAAGGCAAGGGGCTTGCCACCTGCTGCAGGGCCACGTGGCGAGTAAGGATAGCACGAGTGACTGGATGAGTGGCCCGCACGCACAGGGCAGGAGGCTCTAGTACTCCCAGAGTGAGGCGGGGTCGATGGTCTCGGCACAGGCCTTCAGGACCCCGGCGTGGTCCCCCTTCAGGTAGCGGCCACCCACCTTGATGGCCACCTTATTGTAGTCACAGAACTCAAGGAAGAAATCCACAGGGGTATCACTGCTGCTGGTGACCGAGGAATCGCTGCCCACTGTCCAGTACTTGCCTGTGGAGTCTGGGGAGGAAGACTACATGTCAAGCTGTGTTCCTACCCCCACATCTGTTCTCTGAAAGGTTAATATCCCCTCCCACAGTCAACTTCCAGAACTGAGTGGGGTCAGTTAGACGTGGGAACAGTCCTGTAATCCTAATACTCAAGAAACTGAGGCAGGAGGACATCCTGGGAAATTTATTGACATCCCATTTCACACTAAAAAAAAAATGTAAGAGGACTAGGGGCTGGGCATGACGGCATTACCTTTAATGCCAACATCTGGGAGGCAGAAGCATGTAAGAGAAGCCTGATCTACAAAGCAAGTTTTAGGATAGCTAGGGACACATAGTGAGACCTTGTCTCAAATAAATAAATGAACAAACAAACAAACAAATAAATAGAATGATATAGATCAGCAGAGTCCCAGCCTAGAATCCCCCAGTGAGGGGCTGGGGTGTGGCTCAGTGGTAGAGCACCTGAATAGAATCCCCCAGTGAGAGACTGGGGTGTGGCTGAGTTCAGTCCTCAGCACTGTGAAGAAAGGAGTGGGGTTTACTTTACCAAGGCCACGCCAAGCGCAAGGTCCTGATTCGATCTTACGCCTCAGGACTGTTGGGAGTCCACTCACCCTAGTCTTGGTCTCACAGCCAAGGTGTCACATCCTTATCTTCTCTTTATCCTTTCTTTTTTAGATAACTTTCCTGCCTCAGATTCCCAGGGTACAGCCATGCACCACCATCCCCCGCTGCCTCCCACCTTCTCCATCTGCCTAGAGATGGAGAAAGTTCTCTCTACAGACAAGAGAAGCGGCTACCCCCAGGGGCCACAGGACACCCGTTCCCTTATGACCTTGAGTGGCTGTAGGCATCCCCACCCAGAGAACCTGCCTTTGATGTTGTAGGCGCCATCATTGAATTCCAGCTGGAAGACGTCATAGCTGGAGCGGTTAGCATCCAGGGTGCCCGTCACCTTGCGGCAGCCGATGAACCCATGCTCCCCACGGAACACGATAATGGGGCGGTTAATCAGCTTCATGAGGAAGAGTTCAGAGTCCCCTGTCACGGGGAAAGGGGCCATTGAGTTTACAGGGATGGGCCAGCCAGCGTGTGCCTCAGTCAGAGATGCACATCAAGAAGCTAGGGGTTAACGGTGCCAGCCTAAGGGTGCACCAGCTTAAGGGGATGCCTGCACACAGAGAGGCTCAGGTGGGGCTGGTGACTGACCACAGGGCGACACTAAGGAAACAGGCTTGGGGTGCATGCCTCTGTGTCTACCTGCTGTCTCCACTGAGGCGGCCAGCTGACCGTTTTTCTTGGCAGTTACAAACTTGCCATTGGACGCTCTCAGAGTGATGCGACGGTCACACCACTCGATGTCAAAGTAGCAGCTGGCATTCCTGGGGAAGAGGAGAGGGGTTGGCAACATGGGGCCAATCAAGCTGCCCGGGGTCCAGGTGATTCAGGGGTGGGGTGTCACTCACTTGGTGGACGCAGTGGATTGTACCCCTCCGGTTGACGTCAAGGTCCAGTACTTGCCCGTGTGGGTGCGGAAGGCACACTTTCTCGTGTCGTGGTCGATCTCCAGCTGGAAGGTCTCCTGATCAGTCTCTTCGTCTTGATTGGCCGACAGGTCCATTCCTGCAGGAGGGAACCCCAGCCAACCAGGCCATTGTTAATCAGTTATATCACTCAAGATGCCACAGGGCAGTGGCTTGCTCAAGTGGGGCTCCGATCCCTCAGATGGTATCCTGGCAGTGGGCACTTGCTCAGGTACTAAATTCAGGTCCCTAGAAACCACATAAAAGCAGGGCGTGGCGGCAGAGCAGATAATCCCCACACAGGGAAGCCAAGACAGAAGGATCCCTAGGGCTCAATGACCAGCCCGCTTAGCTAAATCACTGAGCTCCAGACCGCTGAGAGATCCCTTTTTTCTTTTGTTTTTGGTCTTTCAAGACAGAGTTTCTCTGCGTGGAACTTGCTTTACAGACCAAGCTGGCCTTGAACTTAAGAGATTCGCCTGCCCCTGGCTCCCAAGTGCTGGGACTAAAGGCGTGCACCACCACATCCGGCTGAAATTCCTGTCTCAAGTACAGAGTGGACAGTCAGGAGACAGAGGCAGATCTTTGTCTGAGGCCAGTCTGGTCTACAAAGTGAGTTCTAGGACACCCAGAGCTACATAGTGAGACCCCATCTCAAAAGTTTGTAAACCGGAAGGTGGTGGTGTGCACCTTTAATCCCAGCACTCAGGAGGCAGAGGCAGGTGGATCTCTGTGAGTTCAAGGTCAGCCTGGTCTACAGAGAGAGTTGCAGGACAGCCTCCAAAACAATACAGAGAAACCCTGTCTCGGAAAAAAAAGTATGAACGAGATAGCCGATGTTGACCTCTGACCTCCATGTTAGGGGCACACACATATATAATGAAAATCGGAGGTACCAGTCCTCACAAGACTGAGGCAGGCCAACCAGGAATATATAAAACACACACTCTCTCTCCATATATATATATGGATTTAGCTCCTCATTGGTGGATTTCTTTAATCTCTAGCACCCCAAAAGACAAAAAGGAAGTAAGTCTTCAAACTTCAAAATGAACCACCCACAAAGATGTTCTAAAGCCAAGCAAGAGAACTCTCCTGGGGCCCGAGATTGGGTTCTAAAGATTGGTTCCAGTCAGGCAATGCCACTATTATGTAAGGAACGGCCTGATTTTTGTAGGGACAGATGGGGGCGTTTCCAGATAAGTCGCCCCAGTGTAGGGAATTTGCTTTAAATACAACCAAAACCATCGAACAAACACACAGATGGAGCCGGTTCTGCAGAATGTCACATTGTGGGGTGCTGGTAAAAGGGGGTTCACTACCCACTTCTCGCAGAGGGGATGTGCGAAAGTAAAAAAATAAAGTATGAGCTATGCCTGGCGACCCACGCCTGTCATCCCAGCACTCAGGAGGCTGAGGTTTAGCCTCGGCTACAAGTGAGACCCTATCTCAAAACATAAAGTAGAGCTGTGGCTGTAACTCAGTTGGCAGAGCGCTTGCCTAACATGTACAAAGTCCTGGGGTCCACCCCAAACCTGCATAAAAGGAACAGAAGTTCAAGGCAAGCCTGAGCTACATGAGCGCCCCCCCCCCAAAGGCACTTGCCACCAAGCCTAACAACCTGAGTTTGATTCCTGCCTGGGACCTACACAGCAGGAGAACTGACTGTGTCTGACACCTAAACATATGTCATAGCACATGGTCTACCACCCTCACCATACAAAAATAAAAATATATGCTTTTTGGGGGGTTGTTTTGTTTTGTTTTGTTGAGACAGGGTTTCTCTGTGAACCTTTGGAGCTTGTCCTGGAACTCACTCTGTAGACCAGGCTGGCCTCACACTCAGAGATCCACCTGCTTCTGCCTCCCAAGTACTAGGATTAAAGGTATGTGCCACCACCACCCAGTCAAATGTGATATTTTTTTTAAGAGAAGGTGGGTGTGGTGACACATGCCTTTATCCCTAGCACTCAAGAGGCAGAGGTTTGAGGTCACCCTAGTCTATGTAATGAGTTCTAAGCCAGGGCTATCTAAAAATAAACAGAGACGGGATTGGGATATAGCTCAGCAGTAAAGTGCTTGCCTAGCCCGGTGGGAAGCCCAGGATTCCATCCCCAGAGCCTCACACACGATGACCACATGTTCCTTTAGAAAACTTGAAAACTCAAAAGAGAGAAAGATGAAGTCATTACCCTCTATCCCTGCCCCCACCAGCCACAAACACTGAAGCTTACCCTAGAATCTCCCTGCCAGTGGACATGGCTACCCAAACAGGATACAGGATTGCTGGGCCTCCTTTCCTCCCTTTTTTATTGATTTTCTTTTCTTTTTTGCGTTTTTTGAGACAGGGTTTCTCTGTGTAACAGTCTGGCTGTCCTGGAACTCACTCTGTAGACCAGGCTAGCCTCGAACTCACAGAGATCCTAGTGCCACAGCCTCCTGAGTGCTGGAATTACAGATGTGGGCCCCAAGCCTGGCTTGCTGACTTCCTGTGTTACATGACCCCACTGAGCCCAAATAAGGTGTTGCTCCTAGGACCTGCTCTGTACACTGGTTTTGCCTCCACCTGGAAGCAGGATCTTGGGTGCTAACAAGACAACTTGTTTCTAAGAATACTGTCAGTCAGGTCACAATGTACACTACCACCTACTTAACCCTTGCCCCTAGGAACCCATCCCTGGTGGACACCCCATCCAAGGGTATGCCAGTGCCACCCTGCCAACAGTGTCTCTATCTGTGCTGTGCAATGGGGACCCTTACCTCACAAAGTAGATGAGGTGGCATAGCCTTGGCTCAAGATTACCCAACAAGACCAAGGGGTTTCTTGGAGATAGACAAATGCCTGGCCATGTCTCATCCCGTCCTTCTAGAACTACGGATCAGCAGACATGGCTTCGATGGTGGGTCACCTAAGACCCTAACCCAGTCCCTCCACTGAAGCATGGAAGAGGGTGAGAAGGCCCTCCCAGGCTAGGTGGCCACCCCAAGCCACAGTTCTGGGCTAGAGTCTGCTCAACCGCCCACCTTCTTGACCAGAAACTGGCTCTCCTGCCCAGGGCCACAATAGGGACTGCTAAGCATCGAGAAGACAGCTGGCCACACGAATGTGGGGTGCTGCCTACTGTCCCCTCCGCCTGCCTAAAACTGGGCAGAACACTCACGTCCAGTACCAACAGGGCAAGGGATCCTGTCCTCTTAACACGTGCCCAGAGGTAACGGGACAGCCAGGACAACCCAGTACTGGGACCTAAGTTGGTAAAAGCCTGTGTTACCAAGCCTCCAGAGTCCCATCTCCAGGTCCCAAATGGTTGAAGGAGAAAATTGATCCCAACAGTTGTGGTCCGAGCTCCATGTGTATGTTGTAGCTTGTATACACACCCCACATACAAATAATTAATAAAGGTAATTAGATTAAATTTTTATTTTGAAAAAAAGAAAAGTCAGCATTGGGGGTGTGACTCAGTAACAGCATTTGCCTAGAGTCTCCTCAGGGCTGAGGGTGTGGTCATCGGTAGAGCAACTGCTTGTCATACACAAGACCTCAGGTTTGATCGGCACATTCCCGCAATAAAAGCAAAAGCACACTTTTACTCCCAGGAGCCGGAGGCAGGAGAATCTGAGGTCTTCGAGGCCAGCCTGGTCTATGCAGCAAGTTCCAGGATAGATTAGGCTACACAGACAAAGCCTGTCTCAGGAAAAAGAAAAAAAAGGAAAGCCCCTCCCAGCCATCTCAGCAGCAGAATGCTGCCCCAACATAGGCGAGCAAGAGGGGACCAGAAGCCAATCAGAAGTGATGACGGTCCATGCCTCTCACCCCAGCACTCTAGAAACGGAGGCTGGAGGATGGAGACTTGAAAGCCAGATGGGCTACGACAAAAACCAGAACTAAGGTGGGGGTGTGGTAAAGGCATCTGAAAGTTGGCTTCCCAGCATGCTAGCCATCCTCGGACAAGAGAGAGGCACCGGCTCAAGAAGTGTGGGCACCGAGTTCAAGGCGGGGCAGCACCATGGACATCTACCAACAGTCAGCCTTGCAGTAATTCTTAGAAGTGAGACATCCAGACTGAGAACAAAAAGCCTCATCCAGGCCACCATCCGGCTCTTATCTCGAGGTACAAAGGGCCTGTTGCATCCAATCTTTGTTAAAAGGCCTGAGAGGCCAGTGAGTCACCAAAGGTGGACTCCAGGCACCCTTTGGTGAATGCCTTCGCCTCTCTCTCTGTGCCTCAGTTTCCCTACCCTGCCAAAAAGGATCATCTCTCTTGGGACCCTGAAAGGATATGAGGGCCTGTTGCCAAGGAGACGCGGGGGCCTCCGCCCTCAGCAGGAAGGGCTGGGAAAGAAGTCAGCCTCCTTGCAGAATGGTCCCTTCAAGGCCCAGGCCAGGGGGGAAAGGCCCCTCTTGGCCTTGGAATCACATTGGAGCTGCGTTGCCAAGGTAACAGAATTTCTGTGGGATTTTTTTTCAACAGTGTCAGCACAGAAAACCTGAGTCACAGGCTTCAGGAGCCCACGGGAGGGGGTGTGGTTATCTTTCTGCTTCTTACGAGCTTATGCTATGGTGACTCAGAGGGTCCCCCAACCCTCACCCGCCTCCCGAGCTCAGCAGCTTGCCAGAGAGTCTCATGTGTTGTTCTAAATAAGCACCCTCCACAATCCACCTCATTTAGGAAGGGGGTTCATCTTAAAACCCTGCAGGACTTCACTCCCGCCCCCCCTCAGTCCACTCAAGGCTCGAAACTACGCCAATCCTGTCTAGAATGGGGAACTCTTAGACATCCCACAAAGCCCAGACTCACTCGCCACTCCCCAGCCAGCCACCCCAAAAATGATGGGGACAAGATCCTTCTAAAGCATGCTCGGGGAAAGAACCCAACATGTGATCTACGTTGGGCAGTGTGGGGAGATACAGCACGGGGTCTCTTGAGGCTGCAAGGGCTTGTGAGGATCAGGAGGCCCTCCCCGCCAATCCTGTGTAAGGTACTGCTCACTCCTCTCACGCCATCTCCACCTCCCAGGAACCGACGGGAGAATTGAGGCTGGGGAGCAGGAAGCAACTTGGCCAGGGATGATTCACAGCCCCAAATTGCGCCTTCCCTCCCCCTATTCCTGGCTAGGAGTTCCCAACACGTGTCTCTGAAGCCCAGTCCCGCCTCCCTGCCACGCAGGCCTGCCCAAAATGGCCTCCCCGGCACACCCACCCGGCAGCTCGCCCCAAAAAAGCCCGGGAGGAGGTGGCTGGCATGGATGAGACTCAGACCCCGACATACGAGGGCAGAAGAGGTCTAACCATGACCCCAAGCTCCCTTCAACTCCAGTTTCCGCCCCCTCCTGCCACATCAGCGTGAATCACGCACAGTCATGACACCCTCAGAGAGGGGTACCTGCCCAGGCTCGCAAAACACACCATCTAGCTCCTTCCTGGCCCCAAGGGCCTAAGTCACCTGTTTCGGCCTAACATTCCCCAGGGCAGCAAGCTCAGTAGACAGCCGGTCTCTCTGCCAGGGAGTCCCTGGCTTCTGCAGTCCCAAATCCCAGCCAGCCTTCCTCCCGGATATGCAGGGTTTTCTCTCTGCACCTCCCTGCCTCGGGGCCTTTGCACTGGCCGTGCCCTCTGCCTGCAAGACAGGCCACACACTCGATGTCTGAGACCCTGTATTCACTCTCCTGGGGCAGCTGGTGTGTCCTCAGAAGAGACCCCTGACCTCGATAATCTAGTACCCCGGTCCTGTACCCCCAACCATTGGCTGTACATGCCAGTCTTGTTCCCAAGAGACTTTTGTTTTGTTTTGTTTTGTTGTTTTTCGAGACAGGGTTTCTTTCTCTGTGTAGCTCTGAAGCCCAAGAGACAGTTACTATCTCTTGTATCTCCTAGTTTGTTAAACAGGTGGAAACTCTGACCCTTCATCCAGCAATGTGAAACAAGAGAAGCTGACATGCATTGGAGTGTGTGTGGGGGAGGGTGTGTAATGAAAGAACATTCTGGAATCAAATACACTCAATTCAGCATGTTGCTGATTGACTGTGCAACCTAAGGCAAATGGCTGCACCTTTCTGCGGGTTAATTCATCCTAACTCAAGGAGGCCCCACCCAGAGCTTGGGCCTCTGCATTGGGGGAGGGAGGTCTTCCTCGACACAGACTCAGCTCCCATTCTGCTATCTCCAAAGCCTGGGGTCCAATTTCCCACCCAAGGCAGCGAGATCCCACAAGCCCCTGCAAGCAGGCAGCAAAGACCCTTTGGCAAAGAAGTAGGGGGTACGCCAGAAAGGAGGCGCCCACTTGTGGCACGCCCATGCTGGTCGGAAATGGCCTGCCAGCCTGCTGGAGGCCCTGAATGGGGACAGATCCAGTTGCAAACGATTGTTCCCAGCCAGGGGCCTTGGGGACCGGTTCACTCGAGGGTAGAGGCTTTTGGAGGGAGCTGGACGCTCGCAGGGCCGAGTGCCGGGCCGCGAGGCGTGCACGAGAGGGCAGGGAGGGCGCCTGGCGTGCAGCCACCCGGGCCACGCCGTCCGCCAGCCGGGGTGCGAAGGAAGACCCAGGCGGCTGAACTCCGCGCCTCCACGCAGTACCCCGGACCAGGGACGACGCCTGGGGGGTTGAGGGTGGCTCCTCCGCAGAGGGACCCGCCTAAGTCGATCCCCTCCCCCAGCTCCGCCGCATCTGGTTTTCCCATCTGCAGAGCCCTAGCAGGACAAAGGGGACGAGGGAGGGCCCAGCCGAGGCGACCCGCCCCCCTGCTCACAAAGGCCGCGGCCCGGAGCGCCAGGCCTAAGCGAGGGGAGGTGGTGTGGGGGAGGGGCAGCCCCAGCGGACATTCCCCCCCCGTAGCAGGGCCGACCCCGCCCCGCACACCCCGCCGCGATCAAAAGCCCCGCCAAACCTCCATTTCTCCAGGAAAGGCGGGGAGAGCAGGGGTGACTGTCCCCTGGCCCTCCAGCCAAAGGCCCGAGGAACAGGAGGAAGGGTGCAGGAGGAAATGGACAAGGGTGAACCCTTCCTTCCAAGACCTGGGACAACCTATCCTAGAGGATCAGCCCGCGAATGGAGACAACCAGATTGGGAAGAGGGAGCAGAGATGACCTAAACTAGGTCTAGGGAGATCCACGCCCCCAGCCAGGGGTGGGGGAGGTGGACAGTATTGCTTCAGGATGTGCTAGGCCGCACCCCATGTCACCTCCTCCAGGCAGAAGAAGCGCACATCCTGGACAGGGGGTGGTGGCGCACGCCTTTAATCCCAGCACTCAAGAGACAGAGGCAGGAGGATTTCTGTGAGTTCGAGACCAGCCTGGTCTACAGAGCGAGTTCCAGGGCAGCCAGGGCTACACAGTGAGACCTAGTCTTTCTAAAACACAAGCCCACCTTCCCCCAGGCGGGGCATAGAGGCCTGTGTGCCTAACGGGAGCGCTTGGGGCGGGGGAATCGGGAAGCAGGATGCAGGAGTTGGGAGGATGCTTTTGTGCACTTTATCGGGACCCAAGAAGAGGACATGTCCCCAACTCACCCTGGCGCGTGGACACGTTCCTCTCGTTGGCCGCCTGCAGCACCACCTGAGCGCAGCTCTGTTCCAGGGCGAAGAGCTCATCTTTACCCACCTTGGTGGCTTTGCCAGCCTTGAGGGTGCCACTGGGCCCGGACGGGGCCAGGTAGCGACCTTCGCAATCTCGAAAGGCCACCTTGCCGGAGCGGAACTCGAGCGTGTAGCCCGTGGCGGGCTCGGGCCGCGCCACAAGGCGCCCGTCGTGGCGCAGGAAGCGGTGGTCCGACGTCTGCACGCTGTAGCGCTGGTCCTGGAAGGCCAAGGTGATGAGCGAGTCGACGCCCCAAGGCACGTCGCGATCTACCGCGATCTCGTCGGCCGGTCGCGCGCTCAGATGCGCGTAGCGCTTGCGAGTTACGCTGTAGATGTTGACCTGTGGGTGCATGGCGATGTGCACGCTCCACTTCTCTGCCGGCGACACGCTCTGCGCGAAGCACGACAGGCGATCCTCGGTGCCGCCGAAGTAGCGCCGGTGCGCCTCGGACTGCAGCGACCAGCGGCCGTCGTCGTGCGCCACGACGAGGAAGCGGCAGTCGGCGCTGGGCACCTCGCGCTCGCAGCTCACGTTGCCGTCCTTGTCGGCGGCCAGGTAGCGACCCAGGTGGCTGCGCAGACACACAGCCGCGCTGCCCGCCTCATCGGGAGGCTGCTCCAGCGTCCAGATCTGCTTCTTCTTCAAGCTGCTAGCGGACGCGTTCACCTTGAAGCCGAACGCCTCGGCTGTCAGGTACTTGTTGCCGCAGCTGATGAGCCCGAACTGGATCTGCACCGCCTCGGCTGTGCCGTTGGCGGTCATGGTGGCAGAGGACGGCCCAGTGGCCCCGGGAGCTTGGGTGGCTGTGCCCGACCTCCTTTGTTCAGCACAGCTTAGCCCGCTGCGGCGCTCCACAAAGCCAGCCTGGCGGCGCCCTGGGTTTTATATGCGGGTGACGTCACATTGTTAGGCCACGCCCCCATCCGTCCTGCCAGGGGAGGGGGCCCCTGCGCTTCTCCTGCGGGTTTTCCTGGGTTTTAAGACAGGCCCTCTGTACTGAGTGGCCTTGAAGTCGCTGTATAGCTCAGACAGGACTCGAACTCTTAGCAATCCTTCTGCCTCTGGCTCCTGCGTATGGGCTAGTCCATTTAACTGCTCCTCCACTAGCGTCCTCGGCAGCAGTTGGCTGATCCCCAACTTTCTCCTGCTCTCTGGGGCCCCCTTGGAGCACCCCACCCCCAAACCTGGCAGATGGGAAGGACCAGCCAGGTTTAAGGTAATGGTGAGTTCCGGATGGAGGGAGGGGTCCAGGATGCACCAGGAAGTAGCCTTAGCGCTGTTCCTTGAAGAGGCCGGAGACACCGGAAGACACCGGCTAGAAACAGAGGGGCCTGGGGTAGAACAGAGGTCGGACTCCAGTAAGGAGCACACAGAGCCCTACCCGCCCGCCTCAGGGTTTCTCAGGGCCTGAACGGGAGCTGAGGTTTCTATTCCAGGACCAGGGTAGAGTACAGCCACGCTGTGGCCCAAGTCAGTGACCAACGTCCCCACTCTGGTGATGCTCAAGCCCTGGGGTGTGATGCTCAAGCCCTGGGGTATGATGCTCAAGCCCTGGGGTGCTGGTCGACCAGGAAGCAGGGTAGGTATGGCAGAAACTGCAGAAAAACAGGACAACTTCCTGGCACGGCACAGCCCCAGTGTAATTCTAGCTGCGGCCCTCCAGGCCGAAGGGGCATTCCCACCAAACACCACCTCCCACCACCCCATGTAAGAACACTTCCCTTTGAGTTTCTGGAAGACTGAGGCTTCTAGGACATTCCCCACATGCCAGGCAGGCCCCTGGAATGCTGGCCCTACTACAGGCTGCCCACAAGATCTGGGCCCTCTGGCCCTGCCCAGCCACAGGCCAACCAGTTCTCAGGGTGGTCTGTGTCCAAACAGATCCCTGTCCCGCCCGTTCCTTCTAGGCACTGTCAAAGAGGTAGATGGCATGGCCTGCCCCTTACAAAGGTCAGCCCAGAGAAGCCCCTAGCAATCCTTGCTGGGAAATCCCTTAGCGGTCACGGAAAGGTCACCAAGAACTAGGTTGATGCCCAGCCACCCTCTCTGGCCATGTGACTTTGAACAGATTCCTTAGACTCTCTGGGCTTTCCCTCTTCTGTAGTGAATATATATATATATTCACTATATATATATATTCTTGGGTAAAGTAACTTACACATGTAATCCCAGAATTTGGAAGACAGAGGCAGGAGGATTGCTACAAGTTCAAGGCCAGCCTTGGGGGAGCAAATCAGAAGACTGAAAGCAGTAACACCCAAAACCCTGTACTGAGGGGTGCCTGGGATCTGGTACTCTGTTCAAACCTGTTTCACCCAGTAGCATCTTGGGCAGACTTGGACAAGTTACCCTCATTACACATCAGGCAGTTAAGCCAATGTCTGATATGTGTCAGGACTCCGTAAATGCTAGCTATTGATTAGTCATTTACCATCACGTCAGGACATGGGTGCATTCACCGTCAGTCCCAGGCTTTAGGCTCTGGTCGTGGGGGATGGCTGGGTGTGGTGGTGCAAACCTGTAACCTTAGCACATCAGAGGATCAGGCAGCAGGATCAGGAGTACAGTGTCTTCCTGGGCTACATATGGAACTCCAGGCCAGCCTGAACTATATGAAACCTTGCCTCAAAAACCCAAAGTGGGGAGCTGGAGAGATGACCCAGAGGATGGAGAAACGGTCAGCAATTAAGAGCATTGGCTGCTTTTCCAGAGGACCCGGATTCAATTCCCATCACCCACATGGCAGCTCAGAACTGTCTGTAACTCCATCTCCAGGGGATATGACATCCTCACATCAATGCACATGAAAATAATTTTTTTAAAGTTAATTAAAAAAATGTTGGGAGCTAGAGCAAAGACTCTGAGGGAAAAGGCATACATCAGCTAAGGCTGGAGATCTGAGCTTAATCTCCAGGACCCTCATGGTAGAAGGAGAGAACCAGCTCCCTCAAGCTGTCCTCTGACACCCCCATGCCCCGTGCTACCCAAATGCCCCCCATACATCCATTCAAGCATTCATATGTAAATGGTAAAACTGGTCTGGGGAAATGCTGCAATTGGCAGAGTTCAGATTGTGCAAGCATAAGAATAACGTTCAGGCCTAGCGGTGGTGACACACGCCTTTAATTCCAACACTAGGGAGGCAGAGGCAGGTGGTTCTCTGTGAGTTCAAGGCCAACCTGGTTTATAGAGGGAGTTCCAGACAGCTAGGGCTACACAAAGAAACTCTGTTTTGAAAAGAAAACTAAAGATGAGTTTGGATCCCTAACGTCCGATAAAAAACTAGGCATATGGTAAACATCTAAAACCCCAGCACTGGGGAGCTGGAGACAGGAGGATCACTGGGGCTCCCCGGCCCATCAGCCTAACCGAATCGGTGAACTTCAGGTTCAGTATGAGAAACTCAAAACTAAGGTGGTAAGCTGGAGAGAAGGCTCAGCAGTTAAGAGCACTTGCTGATCTTCTAAAGGACCCAGGCCTGATGGTGGTGGCTCCTGCCTTTAATCCCAGTACTCAGGAGGCAGAGGAGGTGAATCTCTGAGTTCAAGGCCAGCCTGGTCTATAGAGTGAGTTCCAGGACAGACAGGGCCACACCCAGAAACCAGTCTTGAAAAATAAAATAAGTAAATCTTTTTAAGAATTTTAATAAGATGGAAGAACCAGCAAAATGTCTCTGTAGGTGAAAGTCCTTGTCTCCAAGTCTGAAGACCTGAGTTGGATCCTTAAGACCCTTATAGTGGAAGGAAAGAACTGACTCCCACAATGTGTCCTCTGACCCCCACACATGCTGTGGCATTCAGTGCCCACAGACACTCACACACAAAAAAATAAAAATAAGGTGCAGAGCAATTGAGAAAGATACCAACAGCAACATCTGGCCTACACTCACGTGCACATGCGACACACACACACACACACACACACAATCAGAGTGGGAAGGAAACCACACACACACACACACACAATCAGAGTGGGAAGGAAACCACACACACACACACAATCAGAGTGGGAAGGAAACCACACACACACACATACACACAATACACACACACACACACAATCAGAGTGGGAAGGAAACCACACACATACACACAATCCACACACACACACAATCAGAGTGGGAAGGAAACCACACACACACACACACGCATACACACAATCCACACACACACACACAATCAGAGTGGGAAGGAAACCACACACACACACACATACACACACACACAATCAGAGTGGGAAGGAAACCACACACACACACACACAATCAGAGTGGGAAGGAAACCACACACACACACAATCAGAGTGGGAAGGAAACCACACACACACACACACACACACACACGCACACACAATCAGAGTGGGAAGGAAACCACACACACACACACATACACACAATACACACACACACACACACACACACAATCAGAGTGTGAAGGAGACCACAGAGAGGATCCGTGGGTTTTCCCCAGGACAAGTCAGGTCCTGCACTCAGAATAGCGGCTTAAATGTTGGGGGAAGTCCATCTGGCTCTGGGTGAGGTCATCTGTGGAGAATTGAGGTTCATTTCAGCAGAACCAAAGCCTTCATTGTCATCATTTCATGTGCCACCCTTGGGAACGGACAATGCATCTACAGCTGCATAGTTCAAATATAAATGAGGAAGCAACTTTCACCACCCCATTCCCACCCCACCCCCTCCACCACCAGGTACAGATAGATCCTTGCTTGTGTTTTTCTTTAAATGAGACAGGCAAACATGAATGTACATTCAACTCCTCTGGTAATTTCGTTTGTTTTGGGAGATTTTCAATGAAAGTCATGGCCTTTCACATGTTAGGTGAGCAGTCTGTTACTGAACCACACCCTCAGTTCCTCGCTGGGGAATCCTAGGCAGGTGCTCTACCACTGAGCCACACCCCAGCCCCTCACTGGGGATTCTAAGCAATCACCCTGCAGCTGAGTTACTACCTCATGTTGTTTTGCTTCTTTGATTTTGGTTTTATGAGAAAGGCTCTTATATAAGCAAGGCTGCATACCAACTCCTGACCCCCAGCTATGTGGTTATTTGCTATTCTATTTGTTTTTAACTTTTCTTATCTCCTCCTCCTCTTTCTCCTTCTCTTCTTTTTTATTCTTTCCTTCGAGACAGAGTTTTGCTATGTAGCCTCAGCCAGCCTCAAACTCAACAAACCAAAGGTGTGTGCCACCATGCCTGGCCATACCTGCTTTGGGTTCCAGGGATGAGATTCAGGTTCTTGTGTTTGTACTGTAGTACTTACTGTCCCTTCAGCCCCACTTTTGCTTCATAAATCTTACTACATAGTCTTTGTTAAAAATAGTAGCTTCCAGCCAGGCGTTGGTGGCGCACGCCTTTAATCCCAGCACTTGGGAGGCAGAGGCAGGTGAATCCCTGTGAGTTCGAGACCAGCCTGGTCTACCGAGCGAGTTCCAGGACAGGCTCCAAAACAATACAGAGAAACCCTGTCTCGAAAAAAAAAAAATAGTAGCTTCCAGCTGGGCATTGGTGGCACAGGCCTTTAATTCCAGTACTCAGGAGACTGAGGCCGGTGGATCTCTGTGAGCTTGAGGCCAGCCTTATCTACAGAGTGAGTTCCAAGACACAGAGAAACCTGGTCTTGGGGGAAAGACCTTTACAATACCGCATAATATTCAGTCGCATACAGTTAGCTTGTTTGAACCAGACCCCCCTAACAACTAACCCTTCAGTCACTAATCTCAATGTGTTTCACTTTTCTTTGCCTGGATCTGTAACACACACACACACACACACACACACACAGAGGTACACACATACACACAGAGACATACACAAAGACATACAGGCACACACACACACACACACACA